TTACCTCCTTCATTTTCAAGTTTTCCGCCTGTGCATGATTTTTGCATGAAGTCTGGTCGTATCAAGCGCATGCGGAGTGAATACAAGTGATTCTGGGGCCCCAATCACTTGTGTTTTCTCCATCTTGACGACTATATAGTCCGGACAAAAATATCGCTCAGAGAGCGCCTAAAACATAAAAATATGAAATATGTATTTCTGGAAGGAGATGATAGTCCAGTGTTCTTGTTTTCTTTGTACAAAAACGTGCATGACATTTTGTATTCGCGTGCGCAATGCGAAGGCCTTACGAGTGACTGACGTTGGAGTGTTGGAGGTTCGATATAATTTATCCTGAGTGCTTTATACATAAGTGACATTTCTCTCTTGGAGATTATTCATATCATACTTTTGTTGTCAGATGATGAAGGATCGTCGCAGGATCAGGAGGATCATCGCAGGATCAGATGTTCAACAATCGTCGCAGGATCAGATGGTATGGTATGGTATGGTATGGTATGGTATGGTATGGTATGGTATGGTATGGTATGGTATGGTATGGTATGGTATGGTATGGTATGGTGTGGTATGGTATGTATGATATTGCTACCTAAGTGGTATTTGTGGCTTGAAAATTAATGTCATATCTTTGTAATAAAGTATCGTTGCAGGATCAGATGTTGAAGGATCGTCGCAGGACCAGACGGATCGTCGCAGGATCAGTGATGAATTAGATGTTGAAGGAGCGTCGCAGGATCAGTGATGAATTAGATGTTGAAGGAGCGTCGCAGGATCAGATGATGAACTTATCGTCGCAGGATCAGATGATGGACGACGAGACGGGTGTACAAGCAGAAGCTGGTTGAGGTATATACTATATGTATACTAATTAGAGTAATGCATGATTAATGTTAGTGCATGATTTGTGCATGAATTGATTCCTGATGGTGGTCTAACCTAGTATATTCACACATCAAGTGACATTTCACCCTTTTCGACAATGCATGATAACAGAAAATTTCTCGCAGCTCTTATGAGGGCGTTTTCGATCTTTCTCAATGAAACATTCCTAGTTTTGTCACTTGCGTGTGAATTTTAACGACTTAAGGTGGTGTTATACAAAAAAAACTAGCACGGTTAGATTGAAAAGTATTTCAGGAGTGATTTCAAGACCACCACAGCGACTGCGAAAGATGCATGATGGCTTTAAAATGCTGAAATAAAGTAAGACCATGCAATTAGCTTGGTCGACGCGCACGCAGCGAAAAAAAACGAATTCGTATTAGCCTAATTTTAGATTAATACGAAGGTAATCGCGAGTACTTATATGATTATATAAGTTCTCTGTTCAGCCTGTTATAATGCGACCGTTCGAAGGACCGTCTGTCAGTGGCAACAAAAATTACACTTTCGTCTTTGAACATTTAAATTCGAATTATTTAAGTTTGAAATGAAGAAAAAATTACTATTGGATGTTTGACACAATCACTCTTCTGCTTCCCTTGTTTGTATTCTTTCCCTTGTATTATTTCTATTATTTTTCGTATTGTAGTTTAAGATCTGATAATCCAGTTAATCTCAAACATGAAGGAAAGAAACGCAATCAAATTATTTTGACTAACTTGACGAAGTTTGAATAAGAAGGAAAATATACTTCTTATATTACATGATATATTACATTGCATGATAATTTGGGCCTTGTATAATGCAGGGTTATCTGGGGATATAGTGGTTGAACTGTAGGTTAATATTGTATTGTATACTCCCTCTTGCCTGAAAAGCCAACCCTTTAAAGAAAACCTTTCGTATTTTGACACACTTACTATGTTGTTTAATTTCTTGCACGTCCCAACGTCGAGATGTTGTTAAAGAAGAACGCAACTGTTTGGAATGGAGCAATGAAGCAACGAAGCAAGTGAAATTCGGTACACTGTTTACCAAAGGTGCGAAAGGTGAGGAACATTTGATATTTGCCATATTGAGTGAGTTGCATGTTGAGTAAGTTGCATGTTGGGTCAACCGTAATCCAAAACGTATAAAAAAAGATAAAAACAGTGCATGTGGTGTATGTCTTAAGAAGGGGTCGCGGAAGAGTGTTGTTGTCTACATCGGTTTGAAATGAAAAAGCATGCAAGTCGTGAATACGAAGCATTTCCTTATCAAAAAATGAACATATTTGAATAATTCGGAAATAATTTTTGTTGCCATTGTCGGACAAAGCGCATTTGAATTTCTAAGAGCATGGCGATAAGCGCGCTTCGCAGGTTAGACCACCAGCAGGATCGAATTGACGCGAAACTCAAGAATTGAATAGCAATTCCTGGGACTCCATTCGGATGAGTAGAAACTGCATGAAACGGTGAACTATAGATAAAAACTGGACTGTGATTGCGGACGATTTCTAATGAAAATACCAAATTCAGAACGCCGGTCAGGTAACCTGAAATTCAGGTTATCTTTGGAGGGTTTTTCACCGGGCACTCCGGTTTCCCTCCTTTTCGTTTGGCTTTAAAAAACAGTGTCCATGCCTGGGGCCAAACCAAAACGTGTTCGTTGATAATGATAAAAACGCGTTTGTGGCTTCTGGGTTTGATTCCCAGAACACTGTCGTAAAATAATTTTAAAAACATGGTTGTTGGAATCATGACGTAATTCAAGTACTGTCCGAGTCCTTCTAGGAATGATAATAGTAGACCTGAGTGTGTATATAGGTATATTTTAAATTTCTATTAATTCGGTGTAGAAAGATTGTAAGTAAGCTATGCAGTTTCCATCGCCTAGCCTGACAAAGGCGTTGCCTGGATTCTTGGCGACATACAATAAGATCCCACTTGTTGACTTTCCATTCCATGATTCATTAAGCCTTATTTTTAAAGTTAGCTAAAATAACAAGACATATCGTGTTTCACTCAATTCTCTAATATGTTTTGCCTTACTTGGCTAGATTCCGTACGCCCACATGATGATTACTTTTAAATTGTTTTTCATTCTGCCTTGATATATAAAAAAGGTATAAAAAATCATAGTTTCAGCCTACTTGTTGCCTTGTTGGTTAAACCAATGTTATATTGCATTCTCAAGATTTCTTATTTGTAATTTGCCTTTTATTTTACTATTTTAAACTTTCAGCTGGTTATGATTTTAGTTTTACTTTAGTTTTTAATTAATAATTAGTTGAATTACTTTTTTGAATACAACTTTTTTAACTATTTGATTACCTCTATTTTTTAATATCATTGCAATATCACCAGCGTCAATTGAGGTTGCCCAGCAGTATGAAATTTGCCTGTATAACGAAAGTATGTTGGAAATAGATATTAGATGTAATATAGTGATTCGAAAAAGTAACGTTGAATGCCTTTACAATTACTTCAATTCGTTCTGTAACAAAAGAATTGTTATCAGTATCTATGAGTTAATAGAACTATTCAGAATTTCAGGTGTTTTTGTTTCTGTTCAAGCGGAGCTTTCATAGCAACCTTCAAGTGCCATTGGCAATGGCAATTTTTTTTATCCGGATCAGAGCATAATAACACACGATTTGTTATGTCTGCTGTTATTAACACTTACTCTGAACCAGACAGAAATTTAATATTCCTTTGCACAAGGGAAAGACGAATAATTGGACAAAATAAACATAACTCAAGCTTGTTGGCAATTGCAGTTGTAAAACCATAAATTCGTCTCCACATTTATTCTTACTTCAAGTATACAAGCTTCTTCTGGGGTATGATTCATTACTTTACTGAACTTCTCCTTTAATCGGTTTCTTCAAAGGACAAAACTGTTAAACACTGATTGGATTGTACTTAATTTTGACTGACTGCGGATTTTTTCATAATCGTAATTCCTAGTAGTAGGTTTAAGGATCTATTGTCGGCTGCATTCGTGCAATGAAGATGAATGTCTTCAATATTTTATTGGTGCTACTGGCCACCAACGATAAAGAATTGCGGTGATGAAAACCTGGTTTTCGAGTGAACAAGTAAACAAATTCGGAGCCCACACACAGTTTAATAAAATGTTCGGCAAATTTTCTATATATATAAAACAAATATATTGACAAATCTTCTCCTATTGAAATGCAAAACATTATCTTTAGGAAATTTAATAACAACGGTATTAGTTGACATTTCTAATTACGAGTACCGTAGCGATTCTATAAATATGAGAGTTTTCAAAGGTGAATCGTCAGCAGTGCTCAGTCAGTTGCCATTAAATTAAGGAACTCCGAGCCTTGGGCGAAAAATATGAAGGTTTCTTCTGTGCTTTTGGTCGCTTTGATAATCCTGGCTGGTTTTGAGGTAGAAGATGGGATTGCCTGGTTATTTGATGGTTCGGTTCCAGACGACAAAAATTTGGTTAGTAAAATTCCTGCATTTATTTGGATATTCAATTTTGATACTGATATAGTTGAACGTAGTTCTTTCCCAAAAGAAAACTTGACACAAAAAGTGTAGAACTAAATAATAAATTTATATTTTTAATGATTTTATATATTGCCAATCATAAATTCTCTCTTTACAGGAAAGATGTACGAAATACAAGTTGCGTAATCCATGTTCAAACGACGCAGACTGCCAAGGAGGATGTGATGGTCATGGTTTAACTTTGAAATGTCACAATGGTATATGTGACGTGTATTGACTTGACAGACTTGATTACTGTAAAAAAGTCTTCATGTAACTGATGTAAGGACGAAAAATAAAAGCGAATATATAAATTGAGGGATAAATAAAATCATGCAAATATACAAGTGTGTTGTTGTTTTAAAACCTACTCTTCTCTACATTATTTGGACACTGTAATTTGTAACGTCAATTTTTCATTACGCCGATTTACGTGAATTTGTTCGCAAAAACGCAAATTTTATCATGCGATAGGTTTGCTAAAAGAGTCAGTAGTCTCCCCCCCTGGATTTTGCGCAACCCGGGGGAGCGCGCGCGCGCATGACAGTCACGGGTTGATTTTCACGAATTGCGTCTATTGTTATGTAATATATATTGTAGCTGAAAGTGTCAGAGCTTGAGTGAGGATAATTTTTCACTCCAAAACATTTTAACATGAAATGCTGTGGTTGTTGCGGTCCTAAAACAAGGTATTCTATCCTTCTACTTGTTGGTGTTATTTTAATCGTGTTACCGTTTGCTTTGCACGACTATATCAACCAAATTATAAAAAAAAAGATCGCAGACAACGTCAAAATAACTCCTGGATCCCAAGTGTATGATCAATGGCTAAAACCTACGATACCAATATATCTTCAGATCTACACCTTTCATATAGCAAATCATGAAGAAGTTATGAAAGGTGATGCCCCGGTTGTGATTGAAAAAGGTCCTTATTCGTATCGCGAAAGTCGACAAAAATTCAATATTTCTCGTGGACATGATAAGGTGAATTACAACCAAATTACAAACTATAAATTTGACCCTAGTACATCATGCTCTGATTGTGGTCCTAACGATTACTTCACTTCAGTGAATATACCGTATGTGACAATTTTGCAGAAGGTGAAAGGGGTAATTGATGAGCTTTTTACAAAAGGTGAAGTTAAGATTATTGATGAGATTTTGTCAGGTGTTCTAAGATATATTCATGAAGACCTATTTCAAAATAAAACAGTAAATGAAACTATTTGGGGATATGAAGATGCAATGTTTGAGGATTACAATAAATTGCGCGATGGGTTGGTAAAGCGTTTCCACTTTCTTCAGGGAATGTTACCAAACGTGTCGGGAACTTTTGCATTGCAGCCTAATCCCAATTATGATAAATACTCTACAATTAACACTGGTGAAAGTGATGTCGACAAAGTTGGTTGTTATGAGCAATGGAACAATAACTTTGGCCACCTGGGTTTTTGGAATTCTCCATATGCAAATATGTTAAATGGTACAGACGGTTCAGTTTACAAGCCAGATATCTCAAAAGATGATATGCTTTTCATCTTCATTATCCAACTATGCAGATCATTAAATGTAGAATATCTTGATGAGGTCACAATTGAAGGCATTGATGGATACCGTTTCCATCCTCCAAAGTATTTGTTCCAAAGTGGAAATATTAACCCGGATAACAAAGGTTTTTGTGTTCCAAACTGCTTACCATCTGGTTTATTGAGTATCAGTTCCTGCGTGCCTTTTCAAGCACCAATTGTTGTGTCCTCCCCACACTTTCTCAATGGTGACAAGTCACTACTAAAAATGATTCACGGATTATCGCCCAACGAAGAAAAACATGACACTTTTCTTAGTCTCGAACCAAACACCGGCATTCTTTTACAAGCCTCAAAGAGGATACAGTTTAATATTCAGGTTGATCCAATGGCAGGAATACAAGACTTGGAAAACGTTAAATCTGCCCAAATACCAATTATGTGGATTGACGAGCATGTTCGTATTGACTCTTCAAATGCCCAGAAAGTGAAGAAGAATGTCCTGAACAATTTAGAAATTATCAAGTGGGTTGAACTTGGGTTAATTATTCTTGGTGGTTTGATGGTATTGATTGCAATTATATTGTTCATAAGATTAGCTTGTTCAAAAAACAATGAAACTAGATTGAAACTGCTTGCAGAAGAAAAACAAGAAGACTATGGTACTAATGGTGATTCAGGTCATTTAAATCCATCACTGATTAATGCAAGTGATTAAATTTACTAGTTGTTGATATATTTAAGAGCCATTTTACTGGGCAGTTTTTAATGAGCCATGTTGAAGATATGCAAATGTGGGTTCGCATCATTTTTATCCGCACAAAAACGTTCAATTTAAAAAGCACAGGTGACGAGCATTTGATTCAATGCAATTCAATGTTGTGTCTGTGATTTATACATTTTTGAGACAGACAATATTTGAACATCAGATTTATTACATAAGGGAATATTCATGGTTGATTTTTAACAAAAGGGATAAATTCAGTGAATAGTTTTGTTGGCTTTCTAATTCTATTATATATATGAAAGAATTTATATGTATTTTTGTAGTTCTTTCAATAAAGAAAACAAAAATCTTAGGTTTAGTATCTTAAGATTGTATCCTTGATCAGATGGTGTCTGATTTCAAGACAATGGTGCCGCCACGCCCACTGCCACGCCCCATTTTTTCCCGCGTACTGCCCCTCCTGAAATAATCTTACGTAATACGATTGCGCAATGCAGATATTCGAGCCCAGTCCTGCTGCCAGAGTTGCCCGTGAACGAAATGTGTTTTTGGCAGAAGTTTTCATCTAATTTACCGGTTTTTCTACATGCTTTTTAACCGTGAATTGTACAAAACAAGTATACAAAACAAAAATGCAGTAATCCTGGTATGGCTTTGCAATCACCTTTGGTATACGGACGAGTTTTTGCGTCTCAAATCAGGTATTTTGTACCGCGCTTGTTACGACAAGATAATGCAGGACACTCATGCGGAAATTCAAGACGTTATACACGGCTAGTTACTGCTTATTGTGGCTTTTCCAAGGACGTAACGCCTTCAAATAAACGCTTCGCTTTTGGGGAAGATGCTTTTTTCGTAGCAGAAGACAGAGCGCGGAATGTTCTAGGTAATTGCATAATAGTGTCCGTAGTTTATCCGTAAAAGAATTCTACATAATTGTTTCTAAATTGTTATAAATATTTTATATAAAGTTATATAATCAGGCATTCCCACCCACAGAGTGGAAAGGTTGAGCAGTATAGTTAATGATTAGGTTTCTATTTCCTCTTATAGCAAACAGGTATCAAGGGGTTCTAACGATATCATCAATTTATTTTGATTACATAATCTTGATGACATAATACACCATTATTGAGAAACCTTTGCATGATTACAATCAAAGGTATCGGCCCTGATATAGCTTCGTATATTTCTAGGTGTAGCAGATGGTGTTGGTGGCTGGAGGCACTATGGTATTGATCCTGCGGTATTTTCTAGTGCACTTATGGAGAACTGCAAACGTCTGATTGATCAGGGCTTGCTTGACAATCCCTCCCCTGTGAGGATCATGACAGAAGCATACCATGACATTTCTGAAAATAAGGAACCTTTGTTTGGTAAGTTTTTCCTTATCCAGGAAACTGGATTATATAATAGCTTGGTCATACTAGAATCAATAATGATCGTTTCCTAATAGTTGGTTAATATATTCTAGGCAGTTCAACAGCATGTATTGTTGTACTGGATAAAAAGAGCAGTACTTTGCATTCTGCAAATCTTGGAGATTCTGGATTTCTTGTTATACGAAAGCAGAATATTGTTCATTCCTCGTTGGGGCAACAGCATTATTTTAACACTCCTTTTCAACTGGCCGTACCACCACCTGCTCAAGAAGGAGATGTTATACAAGACACGTAAGTTGAAACTCCCTGATCTTTATAAAAATGTTATGTTTTGACAATTATCTGACAGATTTCTGTGACATATCTTAGTCTAGACTCTGCAGAGGAAACTTCATTTGCAGTAGAAGAAAATGATGTTGTTGTTTTGGGAACAGATGGGCTTTTCGATAATTTGACAGAGAAACAAATAATTGACGAAGTTTCAAAGTTAAAGGTAAACTGGGTTTTTCATCTAGTTTGTGTTCTATATACAAACAATATCACTCTAAACGTATTTTTCTACCTAGGACAACACTGCCAATTCCATTCAGTCTGTAGCAGAATCTTTAGCAAACTTAGCAAGAACTTTATCATTTGATCCCAATTATCTCTCCCCATTTGCCAAACAAGCCAGGATGCAGGAGGGTATCGAGGCGATAGGAGGGAAACCCGATGATATCACAGTACTTGTAGCTATAGTGTCCCTTGCACCCACTCCAGTGTAGATTTTTAAATAATTAGTTGGTTTCTAAAAGATACATTCCAATATAACCAGGAAACAGCTTGGCAGCATCTTCAAACAACTTAGCATCAAATGTGGTATAACAATTGTCTAAAATAGACAAAACACCTACTAATTAATTAACTCTTACTAACTCTCCTGACGAAGGCCCTCAGGTCAAAATATCGAGAAGTGTTTTGTCTATTTTAGGCAGTTGTTATACCACATTTGATGCTAAGGCATTGTAATATCTGGCTATGTAGATTCTCACTGGTTGATTCTCTGTGTGTGATGATGAGGATTGTATATGTTTCCTCCTGTTTTCAAACTTATGCCCTATGCAACAACAGAAACAGGTTAGGGTGGCCACGCACATGACAGGGAATCACCCACGCATGAAAATAATAAACATTTTGATCACAAGCTGGCATCTTACTGAAACCAAGCTTGTTTTATAGGATTTAGGTAAAATATTTATATTATTGTAAATATATATTAATAAAGATTGGTTTGTCATAGTTGGGAATATTTAAAGGCAAATATAATATCTAGAAATATATTAATTATTTTCCCTGAGTGTGTATTTTGTGAAAATCTTGCCTCGTTGTGAACCAGTTTAAGCAATGTTCTTGTCACATCAATATCTACAATGTTGTAACTCTCAAGCTTTTGATCTGCACAAGAATGAATAAATTTTTGATGTATAATAAGTCAACAGCCTTGTAGAAAATCATTTGATGGGAATAAACATTGTGAAGTTTTGGAATACAAGTTGGCAGGTTTTTTATCAATAATTTGTGCATTTTTGTCTAGGAAGACATTGATAAGGACCAGACAATGTACATGTATATACCAATATAAAGTCAAATAAATATAACATAACATTATGTTTGAGATTAATTTTTACATTTGCATTTATATGTACATAAGTGGTAATAACCGTATTTTACACCTAGTTACAGGTACATCGATGATGCTAAATGTATATGTGTGGTAATTACAGGTACATGAGTAGTAATAACAAAATATGACTAGCTAGTACTTATGTGTACATCAGGAGTACTAACAGGATATGGGTGGTACTCAGAAGTACATCAGCAGTACTAATGGTATATCATTGGTACAGAAAAGTACATCAGTGGTACTAACTTATTATATAGCTCAGTGGTACTAACAGTATATCATTAGTACAGATAGGGACATCAGTGGTACAAACAGTATATCATTGGTACAGACAGTTTATACATCAGGCACATCGACAGATCAAATGGTAAAGTAACTGACACAAATACATGTTTTTAAAGTCTTTTTAATCTATAAATTACGATGAATATGACGTATGGTTACAAGCTAACTAATATAGTTAAAGATAACTGTTTTTTTGTTCTTGTCAATCATACAATGATGACATAATTAATAGTGAATACTGTTTTACAACTTTTTTTTTTTAACTTACAAAGCTTACTTTATGAACATCGATACGATGAAACTATGAAATAATAACACATGCAAAGTTTTCATGCTTTTTTTTGCGAACGCAGATCAAAATCGTTCAGCATCAAGAAGAGATTTTTCTCCAAGTTTGAAAGAAGAGCTGCCTGCATTACGTCCATGTTTTTCTTGCTGATATTCATGTTGGATACATGGGTTGTTGTGGATTGTATGCGAGGTAAGCCAAGACTTTTACGCTGTTGATATGAAAAAAAATTATCAATATTGGTTGAATCTTTTATATGTGGGGGTATTGTACATTTGTAGTCTGGAATATCCAGCGATAAACTAAAGGCATTCGAAAGGCATTCGAAACAAACTGATAAGTAACGTGGTGATCGTACAGTTGATCTTACCTTGTGTTTGATGGCGCGTTGAACATTTCCAAGCGAAACAATAACATCAATGGTGATGTTTAAATCTTTGGCATAACGTTTGAAGATGTTTAAACGGCCGTAATTGTCAGCCAATCTCTCATCCTCCTGCAAATAGAAGGTGTCGTAGACTTTTACCACTTGTGGGTAATTTTGTAGGCTGTTCTCTAAACTAAACCGATTTTATTTATACTGGATGGTTCTGGGTAGTTCTAAACTGTTCTTCCTAGAGCCTAGAGGTCCATCTCTTGAGGATCATCTCTTTTGATCCAGTGTTACAACATGAGGAAACCTAAACTAAACTGGATTGTTCTATCAGTTCAGAACTGTTCTCTCTAAAGATCCCGTAAGAATAATCTTAAACTTATTGATTTAAAATAACAAACTCACATCCAAAGTGTAGTTCCAACACTCAGAGACACCAAAACCTCCTCTCAATGCTTCGACTGCAGTCTGGTTTGCCTTTATTGTACGCTGTTTGATGTGTTAAAAAAATTAATTCCACTGTTAGTTTATGGCGAAAATTATTCAACACTACATTACATATATACCAGGCATGGTTTGACTTGTATTTACAATAATACTGCTCATTTATTTCTAGGATAAAGTGGACTAGTTTCTTACGTAAGCCGTCTCGGTCACATCCAGTGCCGTCTTGGTTTGTAGGAACAGGAACTGGTAGCTCATAGACGTGCGACCTTCAGTCATCAGCATACAACGAAACAACAGCAAAATAACAGCCGATGTTGTAAGTATCGAAATTCCTAGAAAATATTTCTATATTAGTTACTGTCGTCTTAGATAGTATAGTTTTTCTCTAACATCAGTATTTTATATTTATTTCAAAATAAGAAAGATCCATTAGCTCGAACGCAACTGAGTTTAGTCCGTTCTGTCTAAACTAACTGAAGAAATATTGTAACGTGATGGTCCCATATCTGAATAACTGAACTGGCGGGACTGTCTATTATACCTTTCGAGGTG